ATAATATTCATAGATGTGTTTTCATTAGCTTAGAATGAATCTTTTTCACAGGTCGCCTTCCATGGAGTCCGCCATGTTTCTACGTAGCCAAGAACAGACAAACCAAACACTGACTCTAGATAGGGCTGTTCGTGTTTTTCAAATGTTTAGATGCCACTAAATCCTATATACTGGACCTTTAAGTATTCCTTATTACATTAATTATTATTTATGAGATTAACAGTTGATTTGCTCAGATTTGACTGACAGTGGTCATGAGTGACATGAGAAACCATACTGTCATCACATTTTGATTCAAATGTTAAATCCTGATTGGTCTGTCCTTCCAAACTCAAACGGGTAAAAAAAAGAAAAACACAGACAAAAACCTAAGCCTAACCTAAATGATCTAACTTTGGCTGTAAATTGATTGTTACCATATGAACTCAGTGCTCATGGTAAAAATCTGATTGAGAAAGTAGTACCCCTCCAATGAGCCCTACCAGCCTCCCTCATATCTTCATGCTATATGCCTGAGCAGCCAGCCCTGTCACCCTGTCAACCAAGGCCATAGAAAAATGGCAGCCAAAAATAGGAAGTTATTATTTGTCTTGGGAAATGCACAGAAACAGCAAGTGATTTATTACGTTTGTGGCATGAGAAAACTTCAGCCCATCATCAAATCCCCAAACAAACCTGCAGTGCCGGATGAAGTCAAATGCAAAACCAAGAACATGTTGTTGTTGTTTTTGGATGTGACTTATAAATGCCAGAGGCAAAAATAAATATTTTAAAATAGACATTTAATCATGTTTGCTTTGTAACCAGTCTGTTAATTTGACATAATCTTCAAATATGATCCAAATAGAGAACCCATTTAATACTACAATGGAGAGCGTTCGTCCTATGCAGAACTAACAGTTTAGGATTTCCCACCTGACGGCTTCCATAAGTTAAGGAACGCGTGCAGGGAGTAGCACATAGAGTACAGACCTATAGCAGTTTTCTCTGAGGGAGACACTCATCCTTCGTTCACAATAAAAGCTTTCTATACTCAAGAGCTCGGCCCTCAAATCTCCCTCACATGAGTTTGAGACACATGACTGCTTGCACTTACTGGAGAGGGCGCACAGGAGGGGAGAAAGCAGCAGGTCAGGGGATTCTTCTAAACCTCAGCCGACACTCATGTGAGATGAGACTGCTGTAGCCTTTAGGTTTGTTATCTTACCCAACAGCATCACAGTCAAAAGCCTTTATTATTTCTGATTTCTGTGTCCGCCAAAGGCAACCCAAAGCATTAAATACTGTCAGAGGAAAATATTTTAGAATTTCTCATTTTTATTATCTCATAACTCTCTCCAAGTACGAAGTAAGTACGAGAGTGAAGTCATATCTGAACCCCATTAAGTGCATACAACATACAAATAGGTCATAATACAAAAAGAAATGACAAAGAATATATGAGTATCATACAGGTGAGAAATGACAGAACACACAAGAGGAGGTGAGTCGCCACAAGGGGCAACATAGAATTACTGTTACTTATTAAACTTACTACAAGGAGTTTTTAACTGGTTATGAAACAGTATCCGTTCAATACTGATGCCTTTATATGACCTACATAAGCACACCACACCATCAGCCAGATGATTGTCAATTTCTGTAGTTATTCTTAACGACTGCCACCGGGTCTGATTGAATTCACTTTGAAATCAATTAAACGAGGTAGTGGAAACATTACCATTTTTGTCCACGAGGGCGCAGAATCAACAAAAAAGGAATATTTCTGCTGCTGTAAATAAATGTGTTTATATTTGTATGAATGAATGAATATGCAATTAAATTACTTGGTTATTAATAAGAAGAAAAATCATAAAATCACAAAAAAGTCTATAATAAACATTAACTAGTGTTTGATCTGATAAGCTGAAACTGCCCTTTTTGGTTGTAAATTGATGAAATAAAGACACATTTTTGGGCTCAAACATCCAGCTGATGGAGTGGTTCAAACTCATGAACCAGATCATAATGGCTGGCTGTTGCCATGGTTGCTTTCTGTTATAGCATGTGGTGTCATGATGCTCTTGCATGAAGTCATGTGACATCCTAAATGAAAAGTAAGGCTTATTTTATTCTAAATTGTACCATGAATTGTGTGTGTGTGTGTGTGTGTGTGTTCCTCGTGAACGCAAAAAATTAGAAACATGTAATTGTAGAAATGCGTTGCCAAGTGATTTGATGACAACAGGTCTGCTGGTACACAGATAGACAGATAGACAGATAG